TTAGTCCAGAGTCTCTTAATGTCAGCTCTACTGACATTTTAAGCATGATAATTTTTCGTCGTGGAGAGGTTGTAGTCCTGTGCATTGTGGGACATTGGGCACATCCCCAGCCTATACCTTCTAATGCCATTAGCACATCCCCACGGTTGTGACAACGAAAAATGTCTCCAGATATTGCCAAATGTTCTCTGGATAGGGGAGGGGAGGGCAAATAACCCCCTAGGGCTGAAGGCTGTGGCCTGCTTCTCTAGCCCCTGTGGTATGTTGCATTAGAATTACCGGCCAACCAGCAAACATTTACTGGGTTTTACTGTGCTGTGCACAAGGCAACGTACTAGAAGGCACTAGACCCACAGCGTGATTGGAGTCATGCTGGGGAGGCAGAGACTTGTGTTCATGGGCAGAGGAGGAAACTGGAGATCAGAGAGGTCCCAGGTACGAGCAGGCCCTGCTGAGGGTGGCGTCAGGCAGATGGTGAGTGTGGCTGGGCCTTGAAGTATGATGTGGGTACAGGGTATGGAAGACTGTTGGCAGGAGTGCCCATGGTCTGCTTGGGTCCCAGGAGTGTTATGTGTGAAGCAAAAGTAGAAGAGAAAGAATTCGGGGAAGTTGGGGTAGGAGAGTCTTGGATGGCTGCACACAGCTAGAGGGAACGGAGTCTCAGGAGCTCTGTTGGAAAATAGGGGCTCCTTGTCAGGGTGCGGAGTCTATAGGTGGGTAAGGGATCCCATGGAGTCATCGTTGTCCTGTATCCGAGGTCTCTTCCTCGGTGCCTGAACTTGAGGACTTTAGCTCTGTCTTCTGCCAACAATCAAGATGCTGCCACATGTGCTCTCTGCATCTCTTTTGGTGTTTTCTAGTTCCTCGTCCTCTTTCCTATTGATTTGCTTTTCTCTGAAGTTTTCTGTTCACACCCTGGAGGAAGACTGAGTCTGATTGGCTTCACTACTTACCATTAGCCCTATTGAGCAAAGTTTTTGTGCTGGCCACATCATGGGCCATGGTCTTCCTAGAGCTGGACTGCCTTTGGATCAGGTGCCACCTGTGGTCCAGTTAGTGGCTCTGCCTTTCTTGGAGATCAGCTTGGGCTGCTTCCCAAAACAAGGGTCTGAAGATGATACCATGGTCCGCATGTCTGGAATCCAGGCTAAGGGGTCCCAACTCTAACTCTGTAGAAAGTGAGCAAGGTCTCTAGTGCTATGAAAGAGTGAATGCTGAGCCTGAGCGCTCCACGTTGAAGGGGGATGGTACTCTCGTTAAGCCCTGGCTGGGTTCAAACCACAGCCTGTTTACTTTCAAGGCAGTAACTTCAGGCAGATTTGAATGTGCCCTAAGTCTCAATTTCAAGATTGATGATGGTGATAATAGTACCTACATCTCTAGAGGGTGGGGACTTTGTCCTTTTTTGCTGCTGGATCCCCAACAACTAGCACAGTACCTGGCACATGGCTTGTGGTTGGTACCTATTTACTGGAAAAGAATAGCTATGTTTCCTGAGCACTGACAAAATCCCAAGGGCTGCTACACATTCCAGCTCATCAATCCTCACGAGGATGGCAAGAGGTAGATACCGTTACTCTCACCTTTTTGTAAACGAGGAAGCCGAGAACCAGAAAGATTAAATCACATAGTGGAGATACCCACAGATGATTCTGTCACCCTGGCTATAGAGTCCAGCCTCTTAGCTACTGTACTGTGTTCCTGTGTGATTAAGTGATCCACTATCTGAAAAAAGTAAACCCTTAGTGAATGGTAACCACTTAAAAAAAACAAACTTCCCATTAAAAAGTAGTTTCTAAAATCAATGAGAAGGAAAGAAGAGTACCTGAATACTAGGTATTACACAGATGCTTGTTAGCTGAATCTTGTTAGCTCTGTCCCTGTCTGGAAAGTTGGTCTATTTAAAAATAATAGTCAGGGTTGATACAGGGTTTACTATGTTCTAAGCACTTTATATATTCTAGCTCAATTAGTTCTCCTAAGGATCCAGTGAGGTAGGTATTTATTACGCTCTCCATTTACAGGAGGAAAAGAATGAGGCAGGGAGGTTAAGACATTGCCCCATGCCAACAATGAGTAAGTGGTGGAGCTGGGATTTGAACTCAGATGGTCTGACTCTCAACTGTTAGGATACACTGCCCCAGGAGAGTTTCCTCTAAGGACTGTTCATGATTACACAATCTAATAGTCACGTGCAACAATATTAAGACATTTCAGAGAATCTTTGTTTCTCCAGACAAAGCTGATAGAATTTTAAATCCTAGAGGCATCATTCAGAGCAGTGGCATGAAAACACCTCTCTGGGTTTCATAAATTGTGTGCTATCTCCGCTTCATTTTGCATGCATGCATGCTTGAAGACCACTGTTTTTCCTTTGTGGCTTTTCGTGTCCGGATGGTCTCCTATATCATCTCAAATATACTGTGAGCTTTTTAAGAGCCGTTGTGTCATCCAGAGCTGCTTCATAACATGATCCTGACCATGGTGCTTTTCAAACCCGTGTGAACCTATTTAAACACAACTTGTAACTTCTTCGATTTCATTTGTTCCATTTGTAGTTAATGGAAATACACTGACCATCTGTTGTGCTCAAGGAGACAGAGAGGATTAGAGGTGGATGGGGCAGGATTCTTGCCCCTGAGAGCTTGCAGTCTAGCAGGCCAGTCTGTGAGGAAAGCAACCCAATGTGATAATAGGTAGAACAAACGAGTGCTCGGTTAACATGGAAACTGCATGTTGTGGAAATACTTTGAACGGAGGGACTGGTTTTGCCTGAAAAGAAGGGGCTATTTTATCTGGATTGAAAGAAACAGTGATAATTCTGTTGGGAAGGAGAGCATGGTCCTTGCGTACAGATGCTCAGAGAAGAGATGACAAAAGTAAGTTGGGACTAAGTCAGAGCATCTTAGATGGCAAGTGAAGGAGTTTGAACTTTATTCTATGGGCAGAGGGGAGCCACTGAAGGATCTTGAGCAGGAGAATGACATAATCACCTTGTATTTTCAGAAGGGAATCAGCTCCTAGGAGGTCACTTCCATAGCTCAGGTACAGGATAATGAGGTCCTCCTTAGGGCAGTGGAAGTAGAAATGGGAAGGGGAAATGGGTATGCATGACTGTGGAGATGAGACCACCTAACCTAGTTACTGATAAGCCGTCCGAGGCGAAGATAGAGAAACTGAAGATGAGGAGTTTGGTTTCCATCATGGTGAGTTTGCAGTGACAGAGGAGCAGCGGAGCGTCCCTACGTAAGAGGTGCTATATCAACACTAGAGATGCAAAGATGAATTCACATCAGGCTCTGGACTCAAAAGAGCTCACAGTCCCCTGGGGGAGTCAAAAAAAGAAGTGAAGGAGTTCTAGAACTCAAAGGAGGAAGTAGGCAGTGGGCAATGGGCAGTGTGTAGTTTGGCCGTCTTCATCCCAGAGTGAGTGGTGCTGAGCTGGATTTTGAAGACTGAGGAACACATCAGACTAGGGTGTGAAGAGCAGATGCAGGCTGGGGCACCACCACAAACAGGTGTGTGTTGGCGGGGCGGGGCACAAAGCCAGAGTCGGGCCGGGATAGGAATCGTCAAAGGTGAGAACGAGGATGGAAGATCTCATGTGGGCCAGACTGTAGTGTCATGGCGTGGGGGAGACACTATCACACTGTGTAGGGGTGCAGCATGGAGGAAAGACAGGAGTCGTTACAGTAGACCAGACAGATGTCGACAGCTGGCTTTCTGGTGCTGGGCATGGAGAAGAGACTATAAAATCACCGTTGAGGACGTGGAGTTTACAGGGCTTGGTGACGGTGGATGCACAGGAAGGATACTGGGGAGATGGTGAGTGGCCCAAACCTTACCTGGTTGTAGGATATGCCTCCAAGTCACCAGTCTGCTGTTCCTCCTCAGGAGGCTGAAGTCTCCCAGTGGTCACTGCTAAGACCGACGCCCATCCTGCCCAGTGTCCGTCACAGAGCCAGATAGCTGCCCCAAAACGCACTACCGTAACAAAAGCGGCCTTGGTAGTCTGCCAGAGGAAAAGGGATTTCATTTTCATTTCCCAAATCAAAATTGCAGTTTCAAGAAGGCTAGATTTTAGCTTGTCATTGACTAAGGAGTCAGAAATAGCTTCTGTAGAAAAATGAGGGTAGCCCTTCAGGACTGGTGCTATCTGGCCCCTCACAAAGCCACAGGAGGGGTCTTTCAGGAGGATCCTATTTGGAAAAGAATGAAGTGGGGGTGGGGGGAGTTGTCAAATATCTGAAACAAAAAAACTCAGGCACAACTCCAAGCCTGGCTGGGAGTTGCCAGGAGGCCAGGTGCTGCTGCTGGAAGCCATGCTTTTCACTTGGCATCACCCTCTGTCATGGCAGCCATTTCCTGTGCCTGGCCCCACAGGGCCCAGTCTCCCCACTGGAGGGCACTATAGCCACAAGCACAGATGGGCTTGCTGAGGTGGTCTCAGAGAGAGGGAGAGAGAGAGAGAGACAGAGACAGAGACAGAGACAGAGAGAGATGTCAGAAAGTCCCATGAAAAAGCTCTCCAGGGCTCCAGGGGAGGGGTGGCAACAGACCTGATCTCTCAATTTTGCCTGATGCATCACTTCCTGGTTTCTAAGAGTGTCCTGAGGAGAACTAAAGGCCTTCTCCTGCCCGATTCTGCACATCCTTCCCAGGGCAGGAAAATGTGCTTGGTACATCATGAGGACGCAGTAGGATGTAGCTTTAACACTAACTGAGAGTGTAGCACTAGGCGTCCTGGGATTGCGGTGGACGGGCCTCATCGTGAGGCTGAGGAAAAGCCTTATGGGTTGGGCCCTTTCTGGCCTCAGCAGCTACATCTCCACTGTGAGCCTCTGGAGCCTCTTCAAGGACGCCCTCTAAATCCTGTTCTGAGTTTGGAGCCATTGTCTTCTGGAATCAGAGCACAGGGCTGGGCCTGCTTCCAGGTTGCTGTTTCTTACGTTTTTTTTTTTTTTTCCAACTGCTGTTGGTTGTGTTTTGTTTCTGTGAAGAATCGTGAGGAAGAAATATGGATCTCTTCCCAACCGCTCTTCCCTCGACAATATGAAGATGCATCTTGGAAGGAGCTTCCATCAGCTACAGGTCACACTCCCTGTATGTAGACTTCTGTTTAACCATGTCTCTCTTAGGCTGTTTCTTCCAGCCTTGGGGACCAATTTGCATTTCCATCTAGTGATTTTTAACCTAAGTCTGTATAGTTGGATAGGAATGGACTGACAGTGGACCAATCATTCAGCTGACATTTATTGAGTACCTACTGGATGCCGAGCACTGCAGGGCATGGGAAGTACAGGGGATGTTGTAATGAGAGGCTGCCACTGGTTTACGAGACAGTATGACTTTGCCTCCGGGGCCAGATAAAGTGGGTGAATCATTACCTCATAATCTTTGAATCATACTGCAAGGCCTAGGGTGGGTTATTAGCTTCTCGGAGACTCCTTTCCTCATTTATAAAATGCACGTGTACCTACCTCATAGGACTCTTAGGAGGGTTACGTGACATGGCCCACACAAAGCACCAACTGGCACAGCGCCCGTGTGTAATAAGGACTCAATAGGTGGCGGCTATTATAAGAGGTGAGCTGTAGGTATTATGGGCATGCCAGAGACCAGCCCCTAACTGAGCTTTACCTGGAGGTAGGGAACACCAGATCCGAATCTTAAAAGATTAGTAGGAATAAATAAGGCAAGAGAGAGGTGCCTGAAGGCTTCAGTTTGGGGAAGGCTGTGGTTAAAAATTCACCTGGAAGCCTTGTCCCACATCAGTGTTACACTTGGTGACCAGTCCTTGGAAGGGCACGATTAAGTGTTCCCCAAAGGGTCTTGGGAGTTAAGCTTTGCCTTCTGGAGCCTGTAGCATTTGTAAAACACTGAAAGGACTAACGCCCCGCAAAAGCAATAAGCTTTGTGGTGGTATTCTGGCCTGTAATTACATTTCCTAAACATAAAAGGAGACGTTTGTGATCTGCAGAAGGGAGGCCTTAACACACAAAGGCAGGCCTCTCTTGGTTCCCTGACCCATTAAGTGACAATTACGAGACCTGTGTTAAACATCTTCTAAGTGAAACAACTTGCCACAGCTCCGTGCTGTTATTGCTGGAAATAATGGCATTTCCTCCCTCAGTGGCATAAATGTCAGCATTTATGATTTTAAATAATAACACATGAAAGCCCAGCTCTGAAGGATTTGCTGGCTTTCGTTGCCACCCCAAGTTAAAATTTCAAGTCCTTTTCCTCCTGTATTCCCCCCACCCAGTAGCTGTTGACCCACTGTGAGCAGTGGGGGGGTAGGTAGAGCAGAAAATCCAAAATAACAGGAGCTTAAACAAAAATGTAATTTTCTTCCCTGTAAAAATGGATTTAGGAAAGCTGTTGGAACTTCAGTCATCATGGCAGCAAGCAGGAGGAAGGCAGGAGGGACAGGTGGGCTGAATTTCTAGGGGAATGCACTTCCTCAAAGAGTCTTCCTGGGAGCCCCACACAGCACTTCTGTATCCCTGTCGTTGGGCAACACTAAGTCTCAGGGCCACAGCATCTGCAAGGGAGGCTGGAAAACGCAGTCATTTAGCTGAGTGATTGTCACCCAGGATAACATTGGGGTTATTTTACCAAAGAAGGGAAGAATGGGTGCTGGGTAGCAATCAGTCTTAGCCAGGTAAGATCATAGTTTCTTTCATAAAACCCGGGATCGTATTTGTAATAAAGCGTGGGATTAGCCGTAAAGCTGTATGATCAGCTTTTAAAAAATAATTAAAAATATAACTCCTATTGTCTTTTTCTTTTTACAAAAGCAACACAATTTTATTGTTAGAAAATTTTAAATTGCAGATGAGTGAAAAACTTATAACAAAAAGGCACCGTGACTCTATTATATAGTGATAACTGCTTGTGAACATCTTGGTAAATAGCCTTCCAGAAATTTTTGTTTTCATTCACATACATATATTTTTAGTTTTATTTTTTTCTTTTATTTTTTAACATGAGTTCACTTTTGAGAGACAGAGAGAGACAGAGTGTGAGCAGGGGAGGGGCAGAGAGAGAGAGGGAGACAGAATCCGAAGCAGTCTCTGGGCTCCAAGCTGACAGCACAGAGCCCGACATGGGGCTCGAACTCAGGAACCATGAGATCATGACCTAAGCCGAAATCGGACGCTCAACCCACTGAGCCACCCAGGTGCCCCAACATACACGTATTTTTAAGCAAAACAGGATTATACTGTAGAAATGTTTATTCCATGCTGTTTTGATTTAATAAAATTGGATGAATATTTTTTTCTGTCGATAACTATTAAGCCACTTAGCTGGTATTTCGTGGAATGGATGCTATCATCTCATTAACTAATTGATCTATTGAGCATGTGTCCAGCTTTTCACTAAATAATACTGTCATGCATGTCTAGATAGCTAAATCTTGGAACATATCTGTGATTATTTATGTGGCATAAATCCCTAAATAAATTGAGTCCTAAGAATGCATACATTGTTAAGACTGAAGTGAGTGGGCCAAACTGCCCCCCGGAAAGTTTCTGCCCATTTGTGTTGAGGGGTGGCCTTCAGGACGGTCAGTGCAGATACCCAGGACGGCGTCGTTCCCCTCACGGTCCTGACACACTTGTGGTTCCCAGGTCCCGAGCTCTTCTGTACCACAGTCTCAGTCCTGTCTCGTGTCCCGGAGCCAACCCAGTCCCTGTCTCTGTCACCCTGGCCCCAGCCTGTTAAAGTGACCTGACTGCCGTGGTCTGCTCACTTTGCTGAAGGACCTGGTTTTAAAACACCTTTTGGGGGGG